TTAACACCTTGATCTTCTCAAAATTAGCGGGGCTGATTAAATGATCTTTGTTCCTTTCCATTTTTAACATTTTAAGGGTGAAAAATGAGCACTTAAGTTCAGTTGAGGCAGCGTTTATATGATAGGGGATGAGCAAATTGAAGAAAGCCCTTCATCAAAAAAGGCTTTCTATTTCTTAGTTTATTGCTTTAACTTCATGATAATTTCCCAGGACAAAAGTTAATAGCGTGCATATGAGATACCAAACTGAAATAAATATTAACACGAAAGAAATTCAGGAAAAACATTTTGTATCAAGCCCTCCTTAAGTTAAAAAAATAAAAAAAGCTGTGTCTAGAAAAACATCTCCCCGAGGGCTATGCAAAATTATGCTTGTATTGAGCAAGAAAATTGCAGCAAATGTCTTTGGAAAATTTGGATTTGTTGGCCTCAAATTGTGCTGACAACATCTCTTTGCAGTTCAAATAAAGATTAATTCCAATAAAAGGAGACACACTGATCTTTGCTATTTGCTGTGTATTTCTGGCTAAGGAGGCCTCTGGGTAAGGCTTTGAGTATTTGTTAATCACACAGAACACAGGAAAGTAACAAGTTGTTTTCTAAATGCAGCTAATATTGTATCTAACTTATGAAAATGGTTCTAACCGCGCAAGTGTTGCCAGTGGAAAGTGGAATCTGTACTGGTGTGAATAATGAGGATTTTTAAAATATCACTTTATGAAATAGTTTAATAAGTGAAGACATTATTTTTTTTAAGAAGTCTTAAAAGAAATATTTTAGATTGAATAACCAAGAGGCCAGAATTGGCCTCACAGAAGGGACATGCTATGGGAAATTTTTGGTGTATTCTCAGGTTAATTTCATTCTGAAAGGAGTATTTGTTGCCAAGAACTTCCTTCCTTAAACACATAGAGTGTTTAAAAAGAAATTAACTCACAGAGCTTCCCTGTCTGTGCACAGATACTCACCATCACCTTTCAGGGAGTGCAAATGCGCTTTATCAGGAGATATCCTGGACTTCAAAGGGGAGATGATAGGCTTTATAACAGGAGGTTGTTACAAAGTTTTAGCAGAGGAGATTGTGAGTTTTAAGAGAGGGGATCTTGAGTTTTATGAGAGGAGATCCTGAATTTTAAGAGAGGGGATCTTGAGTTTTATCAGGGGAGATCCCAAGTTTTATCAGAGGATCTCCTGAGTTTTATCAGCAGAGATCCTGGGATTTTTAAGGAGAGATCCTTAGCTTTATAAGGGAAGATCCTGGGCTCATAAGTTTGATCTTGGACTTTATAAGGGGAGATCCTGGGCTTTATAAGGGGAAATTCTGGGCTTTATAAGAGGAGATAGTTGACTTTTTGAGGTGAGAGTTTGTGTTTTAGAATATCAGTGTTGAAGATCATAAAACTTTTTTCCTATTCCTCATTCTTACATATTGATTTAAATGGTGTGACTTTTAAACGAGGCAAAAATGAAGAAGACCTTTTGAATTCAACAGAGAAATGTATACATTTTGCACAAATTTCAGCAATCTGGCTTTTTGGCATGAGAGCCCAGGTCACAGGGTTTGCAACTCCGCGGCCAGCCACTTGGGAGCCAGGTCAGCTTTGGGGCGCAGGATGGGAGGGCGCCCTCTATGGAAGGAGAAAATGGTCCTGAGAAGTGGTAAGAAGGACCTCAATAACCTCTTTAGTCTTACACTTTCCCATATGATGGCCATCCCCATTTAAAAATTGTTCAGATTAGAGGGAGTAAAAAATAAGAATTTCTTGCTGAGCCCTCCATGTGTGTAAGTATGAGCATATGTGCATGTATGTGTGTATGTGCTTTTTTGTACTCTTGGCCTTGTTGGCCAAGACCTTGAACAGATGGTCTCTAAGGCCCACTGCACTCCTACAGTGATCCCATTCTAAATTTTGAAGTTTTTTTCTTATAATATTTCTTCCTTGAAATAAAAATTTATGATTCATGTGACTCATGTATATATAATATTTTGATTATTACAAATTATAACAGTTTACATTATAATATAAATTATATTTAACAGGTGTAGAAGTTTAACTGATCAATGTTAAAGTCTTGATAATGAATTGTCATCAAGTGTGAGGTGTTTATTGTAAAGAGGTGCCCACCAGTTGTATGAGATACAGGCTTCTGCTGTAAACCAGGAGACTAGGCTACTGAGCTCTGGATTCCCAGTCTTTGTCAGCAGAAGTACACTGACCTTCCAACGTACCCCCCTTTTCACCTTTTCTCTTCTTCCTGCTGATTCCTCTCCATAAACCATGCTAAACTTTTCATCACATCCACCCTATTGAAATTCTATCCCTCTTCAGTAATCTTTCTCTAGCTGTAAAGAACCTAATTTTTGCACTTAATTTACTTTCAATAAGGGATCTAGTTTCTACTAAATACATAATATTAGACATTTTGACAGCTTTATTGTGATTTGATTTACATACCATGAATGTCACCTATTGATTTCTAGGAACTTTGTAGAGTTGTCCAACCATCATCACAGTCCAGTTCTGAACTTTTGCATTTCTTCCCAAAGGGATAGGAAGGAAATTGTCAATAGTCAATCCCCAATCCCAACTCTCCACCATCAGTAACCCCTGCTCTGATTTCTGCCTCTATAAATCTGATTTTTCTGGGAATTTGGTAAATGGGCCATATAATATGTAGTCTTGGTATCTGGTTTCTTAAACTTAGGATAAGATTTTTAGGTTCATAAGACTGTCTCTAATATCAGTAGTTGAATCCTTTTCATTACTGATAGGACTCCATTATAGGGGTACACAGCATTATGTTTGGTTTCATTTACCAGTTGGTGAGCATTTGGAGTTTTCCAGTTTGGGGTTGCTATGAATAATGCTGCTGTGAACATCTCTATACCAACTTTTCAGTTGACACATATTGCATTCCCCTTGCATGGATTCCTCAGCTTGGAATTTATATCCTTCATAACACAAAGTGCCATTATTATTTTATATTCTCACCAGAGATACTTGAGAGTTTCAGTTTCCCAAAAATCCTTGTGAAAACTTGCTAATTTTTAATTTAATTTTTAAATAAAATCATAACTGTATACATTCATGGGGTATAATGTGATGATTTGATATTCAATGTGGAATGCTTAAATCAAACTGATGAAAACTTGCTATTATTGATATTTTTAATTATGCCTATCTTAGGCAATGTTATTATCTTCTTGTGATTTTTTTTACTTTAGACAATTTTATCATTATTATTATTTTCTTTATTTAAATGACTGTCTAGTTTGTCTTGTAGTCGTCATTGTTTTTTTCACCTGGCTGGGGCCGGGCATGAATCCCGGCACACACCCTCAGTGCCTGTGGCTGGCACTGTAACCACTGTGCTACTGGCGCCGAGCCTATCTTCTTGTGATTTTAATTTGCTTTTCCTTAATGACTAATAATGCTGAACCCCTTGTCATGTGCTTATCCGTCATCTGTATGTCTTTCACAGAGACTGTTTAATTCTTTTGTTCGTTTGTGATTGAGTTGTTTCGTATTTTATTATTCAGCATGCAAGTTCTGTGTATACTCTGGATGATTTGCAAATTTTTTTCCAGTATGTGATTTATCTTTTCATTTTTTTAATGATATCTTTTGAATTGCAAATGTTTTTCATTTTCAAAATGCTCATTTATTAATTGTTTTCTTTTATTGTACTTTTGGTGTCATATCTAAGAATTCTTTGCTTAACCCAAAGTCACAAAGATTTTCTCCCTATGTTTTCTTCTACCAGCTTCATAATTTTCATGGTTGCATTTAAGCCTGTAATTCTTTTTTTTTTTTTTTTGAAGTTTTTGACTGGGGCTGGGTTTGAACCTGCCGCATCTGGCATATGGGGCCCGTGCCTTAGTCCTCTGAGCCACAGGCGCTGCCCCGTCGATGATCCATTTTAAAATAACTTTTGTGTATGATTTGAGGTGATATTTGCATATTTGATATCTAATCATCCCAGCACCATTTGTTGGAAAGAACATTCTTTCCCATGAAATTGTCTTCATATCTTACACCCATTATTTTATTAAACTATTCCCTCAAATCCACTTGGTTGATTTTATCACAATTTCATAGATTGGTTTGCATACTCCTAGAGTTGGACTAATAGACTAATAGTCCCAGAGCTAATTGCTGGCAGAATCAGGGTGGGAGTTCTTGTTTACCCAAGTGCAAGAATGTATCTTATTAAAATTGAGAAAGTGTGTCCCTGCGTATTATTTATTTTAACATTAAGCTTCCTGAGATTACCTGTCCCTTATTCTCATCTTGACACTGTAACCTTAGCACAGTACTTGTTTATTTGAGGATCATGTTGTGAAACATTCAATTGACTTAAGCAGTAACATTTATGTGAAATAATTCTATGATTGAAATGGCTTACTGTCTCCTTTACATTTCTTCTTCTTTTTTTTTTTTTTTTTGAGACAGAGTCTCACTCTGTTGCCCTGGGTAGAGTGCTGTGGTGTCATAGCTCACAGTAACCTCAAACTCTTGGGCTCAGATGATGCTCTTGCCTCAGCCTCCTGTGTAGCTGGGATAACAGGCACCTGCCACAACACCTGCTACTTTTAGAGATAGGGTCTTGCTCTTGCACAGGCTTGTCTTGCACTCCTGAGCTCAATTAATCCACACCTCGCCCTCCCAGCATTATATTTGTTCTTACCATTGACAAACCTAGATTTTCACTCTGAAGGGAACATTTTTAGGAAAGAATCACTCACCCCTTATAAATATTATTTATTCTGGGTGAACAAGAACTTCCTTAGGAACTATGATGAATTGCATAGTACTTGTTAAGTGGCCTTGAGCAAGTCATTGGACTTCTCTGTACCAGTCTCCTCACCTGTCAAACAACAGCTGTGGACCAGGTTTCCATTATGGTTTCCCTTCCATAATGGGCTTTTGCTAAATACAGCACTACCGTAACATTGTGTACTGTTCTGGTGACAGGTCCCCGGCTTCTCTTCCTTGCAGACTGCAGCAAGAATCTCTTCCATTGTCATACAGGCAAGTGCCTTAACTACAGCCTTGTGTGTGATGGGTATGATGACTGTGGGGATCTGAGCGATGAGCAAAACTGTGGTGAGTAGCCCTGTCTTTATAACGCTCTTCTTATTGATGACGAAAATATTTTATTTATTTCATTTTATTTTTTATTCGTTTAAATTTCAGATTAATATATGGGTAGAAACGATTAGGTCACATTGTTTGCATTTGTTAAGTAAAGTCTATGATGTAGTTGAGCCGTTCCCCCAGGAGGTGTGCCATATACCCTGACGTTGCGCTCCTTAGGTGAGAGCTTACCGACCTCCCCACCTTTCCTCTCCCTCCTCCTCATGGTTTTAAGTTAATTTGGTTTTTGCATTTTAAAAGAAGGAAGTTTGTTCAGTTGCTGGTCTCAGTCATGTTTTCTAGCAAATGTAATACTTCTTACATGATCAATCATTCTAAGAAAATACCTAGAATTTTCTAAGAAGTGAGGTGAAAGGATAGTAAGTTGTTAATGTGTTAATAGTTTCTTTCCCTTGAAAGTGTTTTGTTTCTCCTTTGGCCAGAGTCAGTGATTTATGTTTAGATTTTGAGCTCTTGAGCAAAGACTTTGCAGACAGATGTCCTGTCTGCACCTTATGCCCTTGTCACAAGTCACCAAAGACCCCTCCTTTATTTGATTCTGAGGCACTACAGGGACTATTTGTGCAGTAGCTACACCTAGGGTCAGGAGGGTGCATCCATTTGTCTCCTGTACAAATGGTGGTCTTCTTTTAAAGCATGAACCTACCTTTTAAAGAGCCACGTTCAATTCTGCATGCCATCGTGTGAATGAAAATCAGCAAAATTCCTCTTGCTTGTTCACTTTTTGACTGTGTGTTTAGTTTAGAATTTTTAGGTGATTGACAGTGTGATCACAGGGGCAGGTTGGGATGAGAACTCACGCTGGACAAATGCAGTCAGGCATCTCTCAGTGTTAGATAATCCTGAAAGACATATTTGCCTTTACTGAGAGAGGTCTGATCAGAGGAATGTTTCAGAGTGATGAGTGTCTGAAACAGCTCCATGCTGGGAAGCTTGGTGGCTTCTAGGAGCACCTGTGCATCTGTAAAAATGCTGAAAAACATATACATGTACAAATCATTCCTCAGGTGACTAGTGTGTGTTGTCTTTCTCTTGTAAATCATTTATTTTTACTTCATGTTATTTTAAACTGACACATAGTTATGCGTATCTATGGGGTACATTCAAAATCCTCTCAGCTACTTGAAATTATGCAATAAAATATTTTTAAATAAAGTCACCTCCACCCCTGGGCGATGGAACATTAGAACTTTCTCCTCCTATCCAGCTCTAATTTTGCATCTATTAGCCAACCTCTCCCTGTCCTCCCCTTCCCTCCATCCTTCCTTGCCTCTAGTAACACTGTTCTATTTTCTACTTCCATGAGATCAACTTTTCTAGCTTCTGTATGGGAGTGAGAACGTGGTATTTCTCTCTATACAGTTGGTTTATTTCACTTAGCATAATGTCCCCTCCTGGCTCATCCCATGTTTCTGCAAAGGATGAGATTTTGCTATTTCTGATGGCTGAATAGCGAGTACTATTCCACTGTATATATATATCACACTTTCTTTATCTCTAGATGGGCGTTTAGGCTGATTTCACATCAGCTGTTGTGGATAGTACAGGGATACAGACATCTCTTCAATACACTGATTTCCTTTCTCTCAGATACATGTCTATACTGTCTAGTGGGATTGATTAATCATATAGTTGTTCTACTTTTAGTTTTTTAAGGACCCAATGACTATACTAATTTACGTCTACCTGTGAGTTATTTTGGGGGATCAACTGGTCTTGAGGCAAAAGAAGAGAGGGAATTGTAATCATACACATGGTCGAGTTTATAGTTGAAGAAGCCTTAAAGATCCAACTCTTCCTTTTTTTAATGAGACAGCTGGGGAAATGCCAGGTGACGTGTTGTAAGGAGGAACAGGTGTAGCTGGATAGGTTAGTGGAGAGAACCAGGGGACAGCCAGTGTGTGAGGGAGAATGGTCTTACCAGTCAACGGGATTCTTCTAAAGCTGGTGGGAGATCATGAAGTTCATATGTCAGGATGTCCATTGTCTTCATCCAAGGTCAATAGTTTCCACTTTCCCTTTGACCCACCCCCCCCACCCCCATCTTTGGTAGGCTGAACATGGTGGCCCTTCCAGTTCTCTTTGGGGCATCATACTTTGTGCGCTTTTCTTATTTTCTCTGTACTGTGTCTTCCTATACTCCACTTCATTGATCCAAAATACCCTTTAAGATCCACGGTCTTCCCGGAAGTCTATAACATTGGCACTCTTCATGGACTCAGATAGTTTCCTAACTCTAAATCTCTTATTCACGAACCCACACACATCTTTTGAAGAACAGCTCACATTCAGGGCATATCATCTTTACTGGCAAAGCATTCTACACTATCACTTACTTTATTTTTTTTTTTCAAGAATGTATAAATAGGGACAGTGTTTTGAAATCCAGGCTGAAAGAAATCATGAAAATAATATAAAAATATTTTGCATTGCTTACCCAGCAGTTCTTTCAAACTTGAGTTATATATTACATGAAAGTATTTTAATAAAAAATCTTAAGCTCAGCATCAGGAGAGATGACATAAGGAGATATTTACCTTCCCAATTTCCCAGAGAGTAAGTTACAATTTTTAGAAACGCAGGAGCTGTGAGAAATACACCAAATCAGCTATGTGCATTGTGAAACACAAATCCCAGTTATGTTTGATCAGTGTAAAAATCATGAATTTTTCATAAAAGAAGAAAACAAAGACTAAAGAAAAAAACAGCCATAAGAACATATTGTGGGTCCCAGAAGGGCTGAGTAGGGTGTTATTCACCTGAAAAGCAGACGTGTCTCACCCCACAGTGATGCTGGTCAGGGGGGCGCACACTTGGGTGAAAGTGGCGTTTTGTTTGTTTATTTTTGCACTTTGTCGTGTGAACAGAGACAGTAGCACTTTAATTGTGCCAGACCCAGTGTAGAGACATTATAGAAGGAATTGGAACAACTGCAGTTGACTCTTCACTGGAACTATGGGCCTTGCCGTCCTGCGTGTCTTGGTATCCTCCTGAGTTTCTGTTTTCTCCAGATTGCAATCCCACACAACAGCACCGCTGTGGGGATGGGCGCTGCATTGCCCTGGAGTGGGTGTGTGATGGTGACCACGACTGCGTGGATAAGTCTGACGAGGCCAACTGCTGTGAGTACCTGAGGATTCCCCTCATGCTTGTTCTGTTCCAGGGTTCCTCAAACTTTTTAAACAGGGGGTCAGTTCACTGTCCCTCAGACCATTGGAGGGCTGGACTGCGGGCCCTGGGACGAGTCGGCTGCTAAGCAGGACAGGCAGCGGTGGCAAAACCACCCAGCTGGCTGGATAAATGTCCTAGGCGGGCCGCATGTGGCCCGTGGGCCGTAGTTTGAGGACACCTGGTAGGCTGTACTCAAGATCGAGGACAGCATTAGGATTCGCTCTCTTAAACAGCATTCAAAAGGGAAGATTCTCATACTTCGGCTCCAGCCTCTAGAGAACGTAACTGAGTGGTGGATGACAGTGTGGGGCCTCTGCCTCCCACACCCCTCTCCCCAAGCTGAATCTGGCCCATATGGCCGGGCAGCTGTCTGTTTTCGCTCTCCTTACTCCATATGTCTTCTTTATGCTTCTGCAACTTTCTCAAGGTGATACTGGTTCCAGAGACTGGGGGACTTTCCTTCTGGAAACAATATATAAGTGGCTAAGCCTCCCTGTAGGAGGCTGCAAACATGTTCTCAGGGACCATCTGGGGGAGAACTTGGAGGGAATTGCCAGAGACAAGACAGCCTTTAATGCTCGTAGATTTACACAGAAAGTGGGTGATAATAATCATAGTTTTATAGCTGCTGTGTTTCTGGGAGAATGAAAATCCTCAGGTAGGTTTTACACTACCAAATTAGTAACAAGTATGGCTCTTAACTCTTTCTCTCCCACAGAAAATACAGTCTACCCAATAGGATATCATAAAAATGATTGAATAGAAGCAGTAAGTTGTTTAAAAAAGAGTACAATTGAACTGAAAGAGGTAACATGATATATTCTATGGACATTTGAACTAAACATTTTATTTTATCTTTTGCTAAAAATAGGAAAAGAGTTGATACTATGTATATATGGATTTGAATATTTAGTTAGCTTATAATTGGGGGCAAACAGAAATGTGGATTCCGTAGTATTTTCTTGACATAAGGAAAGTCATACAAGTATAGTAACTCAATTTCTAATTCTCTGAATTGAATTTGAAATGGAATATCCCTTGGGTCCTTGCTTGGTGGACACAGTGGAAGAGTGGACTGGATCCTCGCGGACCTGGGAGAAGAAAGGACCTGACACTCAGTCTCACCTTCTGGCATTGAGACTTTATTCAGGGAGTCGTAATACTGACAGTAACTCAGTGAAGGCTGTGGTCACATGATACATGGGTTTCTAATGCTTTAAAAGACAACAGGTGTAGAATTTAGAGAACCTATAGGAATCAGAAGGTTAGTGGGTACTAGACCATCCTTTCTAAATATCAGATGTTACAAACAAGTTTTGAAATAAAGTGCTTATTGCGTATTAGGTACTCTGTGAGTTTTTTCTCATATACATACACACAGATATATAATACATACTTTGGCTCCTTAGGTCAGGTAGATATAGAATGAAATTTGGGGGCTTGGAGTCAGAACAGTTTGCCTTCATATTTGGCCCTCCCTCCTAACAGCCGATTGATTTGAAACAGGCAGAAAACTCCGGTTTCCTCATTTTTAAAATGAGGATGATAGCATCTACTTTGTGAGATTTTGGTGAGGATTTGAAATCATAAACACAGCGCACCCAGTTCAGTTCTTGCCACAGAAGGACCTCTTCTGAATTGTAGAACCTATTAGTAGTATCTTTACTATCCCCATTAAGAATAATCATGCAGTCTTCAAAAAAATTTTTTTTAGTAAGTGCTATTTAATAAGGCAGGAAAAATTCTAGAAAGAAAACTCTCCATTTGAAAAAAATGTTTAGAATTAAAATAAAATAATGATGCTCCCCTTTGTATATGTGGAACACAGGTGTTATTATTTTTGTGTGTGTGTGACTAAATCTGATAGAATATGTATTTCTATCCATTTGCACTTCATCCCCAGTGTGTGATTGTCTTTTTTTTTTTTTTATTAAATGATAGCTGTGTACATTAATGCAATCATGGGGTACAGTGTGGTGTGCAAAGTATCACAAGAATGGAAGAACAGGTGTTATTTATTGGATGTGCAGACTGAACAAAGGGTTAGTAAAGTGAATATTCTTCTGGCCTTTCCCAGCTTGTCACAGCCAGGGGCTGGTGGAATGCAGGAGTGGACAGTGCATCCCCAGCACGTTCCAGTGTGACGGAGACCAGGACTGTAAGGATGGGAGTGACGAGGAAAACTGCAGTGACAGTGAGTGTGGCCTGCTGCTTCTGGAATGTTCCTTTGTTGATGGATCTTTCCCTGGAAATAAAGTAGAACGTTTGAAGTCGCCCAACGCTTAAGTAGGATTCCCACATAAATAATTCCAGATTGCCTAATGCCTTGGTCCTCATGGCCCTAGTCAGCCAGGAAACCCTTTCTTGTGGTAAATAAAATCATGAAGTAACTTATGCTGAAAAATCATTCCTTAGGGTAAAGGGCAGAGGGCAGAGGGCAGACTGCACGGTTGGATTCCGTTAACTGTGAGCTCTCCCAGAGAGCTGTGAAACAAGTTCAGTGTGCAGCACCCAGTTGAATTAGGTTGGATTCCAATTAGGAGGAACTGGCTTCTGGAGTTACACGCAATGTCTTCTTGAAATAACCACGCTTAAAGGAGTAGTGTAGTGCCTCATATTACCAAGCGATATACTTAAATAAACCTTAAAAGGAGTCTTATTTCTGCGTGTGAATTTCAAAAAGAAAAAGTGAGTTAAATAAGCTGGTTTTTAAATGTGACTCTTTCTGGCAGAAAAGAAAGTTCTATGCTGATTTATTTTTAATTACAGTGTGCATGGAAGCCTCTCAGTGTGGGCTTCCATAGGTAGGAGAGTTCCTGGACTTAAAGACCCATTTGTCCATGTTACAGGGGCACAGTCTCATTGTTATTAGGGCTGTGGCTGCTGCGGCCCTGCCACCAGGGCCAGCTTGGTGGCTTTCAGCCAGGAACTCAACCCCTCTGGGTCTGTAGACTCAGAACAATGACAGCTACTTCAGAGAGTTGGCACATACTGAGAGCTCAATCAATTGTAGCTATTATGTTAACGCTTCTCTCGGGCTACCTATATTTACAGTCAGCCAATGAGATTGGTCATCTGTAGGTAGATTAGTTTTCTTATAATGGATATTGTTTTTCTGACACAGGGTCTCCCTGTCACCCAGTCTGGAGTGCAATAGTGTGACCTTAGCTTGCTGCAGCTTCAGACTGCTGGGCTCAAGGAAAGCGATCCTTCTTATTTAGCTCCAGAGTAGCTGGGACTACAGGAGCGAGTCATCACGCCTGTCTGATATTTTAAGTAATTTTTTTGTATTCTGCATGCCCGCCCTTCCTGGTGAGAGGCTCTTCTACAACTTGAACTTTACTTTGGAAGTGAGAACAATGCAATCTAATAATTTGTATCTTCATATTAATTTGAAATAAAAAACATAGAAATAATTTTTTTTTTTGTAGAGACGGGGTCTTGTGTGGCTTAGGCTGTTCTCAAACTCCTGGCCTCAAGTAAAACTCCCACCTTGGTCTCCCAAAATGCTAGGATTAGAGACATGAGCCACTGTGTTCTGCTAATAAGAAATATTGATCATTAGAATAACTGTAATGGAATAGCATCCAAGATCTGAAGATTTTAAATCAAAGACTTATTGCATAATAATAATGTAGAAAGAGGCTTTATCTTAACCATTTTGAAATTCAAAAGGAAATCCTTTATTAAACATGCATTACAGTGTGTATATCCACCAAGTACCTCCCTTTGGATAAAATTGTTTTTTTCTTTCTATATAATTCAACTTTGAAATAATTTTGAATTCTTATCTATGAAAGAGCAGGATTCATAGATTATTTCCTTACATGTAAGAGATACAAGAAAGTCATATGATAAAATTTTAGTATCTTTATATTATTTATTCTAGTAAATTCAACTTTAAAAATATATACTACAGTGCTAATATGTGGTCAGCCCCTGGGAATTCAGTGGGAAGGAAATCAGCTGATGGGGCTTGCAGGTTTCTGGGGAAACTGGGCAGGATACAAGCAATTGTGTGAGCCAGTACCTGTTCATGATACATTAATAGCCTATGAAGGGAACTCAGGGTGCTCTGATGCCAAGTGCAGTGGGCTTGCCTTGGGAGGAAGTCTCAGAAAAAGCTTCCCTGAGGAAGAGGTATTGATTAGAGCTCAGACATGAAGGGTAAGTATGCCAAAGAAGAATGTGGCTTGTAGAAATAGTTCGGATACAGGGCCCCACCTTGGCCCAAAGCCCTGAGGTGGGAAGGAGCAAGGCATGTTTAGGGTGCTGAGAGAAGGCCATTGTGATTAGAGAGCAGAGAATGACACTGCTGTATGTAATTGTCAACCCTGATTGAAGGTTTGTTTCAGACAGGGATAGGAAGGGAAGTGGAGCCCAGTTCTCCCAGATCATGGGGACTTGTTGGAGAGTTAGGCCTTTGAAACCCTCAGGCTCTGTCCCTGCCTACCTGTCTGGTCTTCCTATCCTCTTCCTCAGTGGCTGAGGCTCCACTGACTTTGATCTGTGCACTTTCCTAATCCAGGCCTTTGCATGTGGTGCTTTTCTTTATTCTTTTTTAAAATTTCAGATTAATATGGGGGTACGTATGGTTAGGCTACACAGTTTGCTCTTGCACTGTGAGTGTGTGGCACACTCCTGCACATGCTGCTTTTCTTTTCTTCCTTTTATTAATTAATTGATTTATTTTTTGAGACAGGGTCTCACTGTATTGCCCTTGGTAGAGTGCCATGGTGTCACAGCTCAAGGAAACCTTAAACTCCTGGGCTCAAGTGATTCTCCGGTCTCAGCCTTCTGAGTAGCTGGGACTACAGGCACCCACAACTATGCTTGGATATTTTTAGAGATGGATTCTTGCTCTTGCTCAGGCTAGTCTTGAACTCATGAGCTCAAGCAATCCACCCTGCTCAGCCTTCCAGAGTGCTAGGATTATAGGTGTGAACCACCATACCTGGCCAGATGCTGCTTTTCTGCATGGGAAATTCTTCCTACAACTTAGCTCCTCTGCCTGGAAAATCCCATTGGACAGGTTCCCTGTGCTTGCCTAGGCTGCTTCTACTTACTCTTCAATGTGACCTCCGTAAAGCAACACTCACATGGCATCAGAGGGTTTTGCTACTAGTGATCCCTCCATCAGAGTACAGGCTGCTTCTCAGGGTTGCTACTAGTGATCCCCCCATCAGAGTACAGGCTGCTTCCCCGGGTTATCACGTCCTTTTATCTCCTAGTGCTGAGCTCCCAGCTTTGCCACATAAACTTGCCACATAGCAGGCACTTAATATTTACTGAAATAATAAATGTGTGTTCCCAATAGAATTTCCTCAAGAGCCTAAACTCATGGACTTTGTCTGGGTTTTCTTCAAGAAAAATGTTTGACCCCACTGACATTAAAAAAAAAAAAAAAGAAGAATGACATACCTTTTCTGCAAGGTTATGATCTATTACGTTGCACATTAGTGGTCCCTGAAAGGAGAATGATTCCAGTGTTAAAAACATTATCTTAGAGTCATCCATAAGAGATTATGTATACACACATACTATTATTGATACTTGAAAATGCCTTGCAAGCTTGTCTAGATTCCAGATGACATGTCTGAAAGTAATTGACCACAATGGGGGAGAGATAGAAAGAAACTTGATGGTAATTTATTACCTTATCCATTTTATCCACAAATCACCAGAAGATCAATGGGAAAGCATTTACCTCTCTCTATACCTTAAGGGAAAGCCATCAGGGCAAAGGCTGATGGTACTGCTGTCATTCCCTTGCAAACAAGAAACCTGGTTCCCAAGTCATCACAGGGAGGCCAATGATACTTTCCAAGGACGTGTCTTGAATATGGGTAACAGCTGCATATGACTTGTATTATGAAGTAGCCCTATTGGTGTTGATGCCCTATTCATGATTAAGGAGTATTATTAAGGAAGGCATTTTCCTTAGGGGAAAAACTGCAGTTGGGAGCAAATGAGTTTAAATGAAATTAAACTTAATAAAATATTAATTTAATTTAATACTCAGATTTTCAAGATCCTTTTATTGCTCTCACTCTCTCAAATCACTTGAATTTTATTTTATAATACATGGTGGATGCCCACAAACAAAAAAAGCACTATTGTTTTTCCATTAAAAGAACGACCACCTGTTTTTTAGTGAAGTTGGTCTCTTGTTTCTTCATTCCTTTTTTAGAACACCTGGATTGTATTTAATTGCCAGAAAAATTAACTCAGAAAGTATCTTTTCAGCATGTGTGTGATGTTTATGGAGAACTTGGAAGGAAATTGAAGTCGTGTTGTTCCTCAGCTCCACCGGCACCCTTATCTTTTAGATCGTAGTGTAAGGAATTTGCAGATGATGAAAACCAATGTGCCTTTTCCTCTCTGTGCAGGCCAGACCCCATGTCACGAAGGAGACCAAAGATGTCTCTACAATTCCTGCCTTGATTCATGTGGTGGCAGCTCTCTCTGTGACCTGAACAATAGTCTGAGTAACTGTAGTAAGTACAACAGCTGGCAAATGCCATCACACGTCGGGACACACATTCTGGGTTTTTCTTCTGCGTTGACATTACAACACTGAAGTCTGGAATCCCTCCAAAAATAGCGCACCTATCTTCTCTTTCTTCTTTAAAGGTTGCATGTGGTAGCAGAAAAGAAACAAAATGGTCTTCATTAACTTAAATCAAAAACAAATGCATCATCGTGAATGGGCTGTAAGTCCCCGCTGTTAACATCATTACCATCACGTTCCTTCAGCCTCAGCTCCTATATATTATTTTTTTTGGCTCCATCTGCAGGCAGATGCTATCTTTCTTCCTTTTTAAAGCATAGCTTCAAAAATGGAAACTTTATCCAAGAAACAAATATGAAGTACATTGAAATAGCATAAAGAACTTTGGCAATCTGTTCTTTCAATAAGTTCATCCTCACCTTTCCAGGAACTCTGATGAGTTTTGGTGAAATGTAACAGCTCCCCATGGAGGAGGCATGTGGCTCTAAGCTGGCTTTCAGGAGGGGGAATTATCTGAGGAAAACGGAATGGGCAGGAGTGAAAGAACACTGGAAACCCCCAGAGAAGATTTAAAATGAGTCAGAGAGTCCCCTGCAACTGATTTCTTACTCCTGGGCTCTGTTTCCCTATCACGCCCACTTCTTTCCTATTTATATTTATGGACGTATATTTTTAGAGATAGGGTCTCCATCTGTCTTCCAGGCTGGAGTGCAGTGGTGTGACTATAGCTCACTGCTTCCTCAGACTCCTAGGCTCAAGCCATCATGCTGCCTCCTGTATCTGGGACTATCGCCTGTGCCACCATGCCTGGCTCTGTCACCTTCTTGAATGAACTTTTTGCCTCACTTTCAACTTGAGCCTAGAACTTTAGAAAGAGATCAGCTTTCGGGTGGCAGGAGAGTACTATGTCTTAACACCACTCCGCCTCTCAGCTGAAGGCCAGTAGAAGCTGGGAGGCTGAAGGGCTCAGATCCTCACGGCTGCTGCAGTTGTCAGATCCTAGATTGACTTGGTGACATTTCTGGGTCAGTGTGGAGATTATAGGGAGTGCCCCTGTAGAACGCTGGGGAGGCTGGGGTGGGGGAGGATGAAACTAATGGGCTGGAAGAGGGTCTAGGTAGGCAGCTAATTAAAAACCCAAGCTGATGGGACTTGTGTTTTCATGGCACTTAATACAGCTTTGGCTGAAAGCACAAAGCCCAGCCTTCCTCATGTCTCATAGGAAAGAAAGAACAGTAGGTTCTGGTCTGGCCCACACTCAAACTGCCACTGTGCTCCCTTTAAAATTATTGCAATGCACAGATTCCTCTGTCTCTCTCTAATGTATGCATATTCATATAAATATGCAGGGGTACCGGTGCCTGTTCTGGGGCCACTGTCCCCCTTGTTTCACTTTGCTCCTCTCCCAATCCACTGCAGAAGTTTTGCAGAACTACTTCTTGAATCCCCTTCCACTTGGTTGAATAC